AAGCTGGCCTAGCAGCAGGTCACTGTTAACATAAGCTGGCCTAGCAGGCCTCACACACTTGTGCTGTAGAAGTTGTGTTCTGATGTTCACTCTCTCATCGCATTGTTTAATTAACAAACACTCGTTAAGTGCTTGATTTACACAAAATCATGTTTTTAAGTCGCCATATACACTACCACGTATAATCTTCTCCAAATTTGGTTCATGGTGAAGTTAAAGTGGAATTAAATGCTTTTTCCTCTGAATGATTATAACTTAAAGAAGTCATAATTTAATTATTTCTTTCCTGCTTTACTAAGAACAGGTACTCAATACAGTGAAATTTTATGACTTAGCCAGTGTTCAGAATTATTACTAATTTATTATTACTAATTCTTCTACAAATAGATATTACACCAATAAATAGACTTCTGTTTGTTTATGGGTAAGTCCTTTGGGGTTTTATGGACTGTTCACTGGTTATTTCCATCATACTCAGTGGTTATTTTTCTTTTTTGAAATTATACTTAGGGTATTTGAGATATTCTATTTACTTAAACATGCAGCTTTATAGAACACATGTTCTTTTTTTTTTTACTTTTTTTTATTAATTACAGTTTATTGAGTTTGTATCCCTCCTGTAGCTCCCTCCCTCCTCCTTCTCCTCCCATGCCCCTCCCCAAGTCCCCTGATAAGGGAGGTCCTTAGTAAGATCGAGAGAGGACAGGAACCACACAAGGAGAGCCAAAGAACCAGAAAATTTGAACACAGGGAACTTCCCAGAGACTCATACTCCAACCAAGGACTATTCATGGAGATAACCTAGAGCCCCTGCACAGATGTAGTACATGACAGTTCAGTGTCCAAGTGGGTTACATAGTAATGGGAAGAAGGACTGTCTCTGACATAATCTGATTGGCCTGCTCCCCCTGAGGGGGAGCAGCCTTACCAGACCACAGAAGATGACAATGCAGCCACTCCTGATGTGATCTGATAGACTAAGATCAGAAGGAAGGAGAAGAGGACCTCCCCTATCAGTGGACTTGGGTAGGGGCATGGGTGAAGAAGGGGGAGGGAGGATGGAATAAGGAAGGGAGGAGGGAGGAGCTTATGGGGGGATACAAAGTGAATAAAGTGTAATCAATAAAAGTAAAAAAAAAAATTAAAAAATGCAAAGTAAATTTATTTTTAAATCCTAAAAAAAAAAAAAAAAAGAATTTGAGTTGCTAATGTTTCAGGTATTCAGGAAACCATGTGGAGACATGGAAGTGGCCATACATGGAGCTTACCCTGGGTGCCCTGAAAAGTAGAAACTAATTGACCACAGCAATTATACAGCTCAGAGACACTTAGCTTTTTCCTCCATTCTCTATCACCTGTGGAGAACTCCTTTATTCTCAGTCCACAATTGAGAGATTCTATAGATTGGTGTCCATATATCATTCATTCACAAAACATTCCCAGAGTATCTACACTATTCCAAGAACTGAGCTAAACACAAGAGCTTAGAAGTGAACAGTGTGATAGAAAAATAGGGAACCCAGAAATGCTTTTAAAAGGAAAATTGATAAAGAGCTCTCTGTGTGACTCAAGGTAAAATAGTAATAGCAAAAGAGAGATTGTCTAACCATTTGCCCATGGCGGAGGAAAGTGAGTTGGAAGAAGAGAAGAGCCAGCTTCAGCTAGATATACAAGAAGAGAAACAACAGTGGTAATAGACCATAGCACATATGAGCAAGAATTTGTACTGGTTATTATCACACCCTTGTAGTATGTACCTGACAGAAACAACTAAAAGAAAAACTACAACAGCTCACAATTTTCAGGAGATTTCAGTTTATCATGGGCATTGAGGAGCAGCCTTATCTGTAGTAGCAAGAGTATAGTGGAGCTAAGCCTACGGAAACAGCCCAAAAAAGCAGAGTTATTAGTCTTCAAATGCCTACCCCTGCACCTACCTCTACTAGCCGGGTACCACCTTCTAAAAAGCACACAGTCTTCCCAAGCACCAGATGGGAAACAAGCACCAGGACATGGAGGGCCATTTCACTTTTAAGCCACAATGAACATGAATAGAAGTAACAAAAGCAGTGATCCAAAATAATTCATTATTGCAGGCGTTGAGAGCAAAGAGCAGAGGCCACAGATGAAACCAGAGAATTAGACAACAGTCAATAATAGCTGGCCCAGAATGCGTTGGCAAGAAATTCAGACATAATGTAGAATTAAAGAAGGGCTGAGCTGGTAGAATTAGGCAAATGGTCAGATGTATGTTGGAGGATAATTGTTTTTACTCACGTTGGTTTCTACTGTTTCATCACTGAAAAAAAAATTAGTAGAATAAAAAAGTACTGTTAGAGCAATTTGACAACCAGTGCCATCCAAAACCCTTGCCCTTCCCCTGACCTTCCTCTTGCTCATTGGAAATCCCCTCTTCGGGTAAAAAAAAACACAGAACTTAAAGTTAAAAGAAAATTTAAATATCTTGTTAGGGCAAAAAGATTTACCATGATTCACACACACACACACACACACACACACACACACACACACACACACAC